CCCCAAAACCCCAAAACCCCAAAACCCCGTATTTTTGGATTGCTGTAAGAATTAATGAAGAGAGAATATTAATTAATTATATAATTATAAAATAGATTGGAAAGACACCGATATAAATGAGCAATTCACGAAAGTCCGGTGGCAAGACCACAGGTTTATTGGGAAATACGAATTCTACTAACACTACAACCACTCATAGCAATCATTAGCATCATAAGAACCTTAGGAGGCATCTGGATATGGGTCTCCCAAATTATGGTGGTGATAACAGTTCCGGATCTAATAACTAAACAAACTTGTTTGAAATAAAAAAGAGATCTATCGACTTTTTTTAGCAAGTAAGAATTATTTGAAAAGCCATTTTTGAGATTAAAATTCATTGGACTAGTTTTTAACAAATTTAATTTAGAATCCTAAAAACCCAAATATGCCACAGACACATTCAACAGTTTTAGGAGGAGCAGACGCTGATTCTCTACGTATATTACGAATATTTGATTAATTTAGGGAGGGCAAGTCCGAAAGAAGCTTACACCAATCAACAAAAAAGAGGATCGAGTAGCGGAGGCATCGGTGGTCCCATTATTAACAATATGTTTGGAGCAGATAATACTGGTTACTAAGGAGGTTAATAACTATTCTTCAAAAGTATATTCTTAATGCATAATTGAATTTATATAGATTAAGAGTAAAACGTAGCTTAACTTTCAAATACTGCGAAATCGAACGGATTTTTTAGAAGAAATGCCTCGAATTCCGGTAGCAAGCAAAAGAATGTCAATGATCAGTAGCTCTCCTATCCTGCTAATGGTAACGATGTATCACAGCCCAAAGCTCAAATTGGAAACTCGCCATAAATGTCTCCTCGGAATATAAAAGACCTTCTAAAAATGAGGGTATTTTAGATTTTTATCTTGATTTACTCACTCTATAGCATGCTGTTGAAAGTATAAGAAATAGAAAGAGCACTACAAGCTAGAACAACGAGTTTATTTAAAGCCTTAAAGTGGCGCAAAATAACTCGGGCAACTTCTAGGGGGCAGGAGCGAATAGATAAAGCATAAAAAGAACACCTTCCAATGAATCCAGTTTTGTCAACAAAAATAATGGAGCTAATTAACATCCACATTAGATTAATCATCATCCGGATTTTAAAACAAGACCAATGAGCGGTACATCTAATAAGGGAAGTAACAGCAGTATCAAACATACAACCACAAAGTCTTCAATGAACAACCCTACCAAAGGTTAGGCAATGTAACAGCCGTTAACATAAGACCAATTAATTGATTATATATCAAAGCTTATTAAGAATAATAAAAAGCACTTCGAAAAAGATCCAGCTAACGAAGAAGTTATTGCTAACTTAAAACAATGTATGGGATATATAATATAAATTTATTAACATCTTTAGTTCTATAACAATAATTTGATGATAAAAATGGAACTATGGGTGGCTATCAAGTAGAAGATTCAACTTAGTTTAATAGCCTTATTAATGACCTGCTAAGGATGAATTATCACTAACCTTCACCTTCATTGAGCGGTAATTGAAACTCCAATTTATTCTTAAAGGTTCATAAAAAGGAAAGCCAGTTGGAAAAGATAGAGCGAATTCAGAAAAAAATTAGTCAACATATTCTAGTTCATAATCAACTTAACAGTAACACGCTAATAATAGATATAGTGGAGCTGGAGCAGGTGCACAGCATCAATAGAATAACCCTGTTTGTAATTAATTTATTGCTTAAATTTTTATCATTATAGAGTAAGTTAAGATTTCGCGTCCTACAATTAATTTGTCAATAAATAAAAATGTGCAAAATGTAATGATCACTCCAATGAGCTATCCTTAAGGGCAATAATAAAACCAGTAATAATCATAGAACTCAACTAATAATACTAGAGGACCAGCTGCACAGAAGAAAAGGACATCTTCAGAGGACAATGTGAATATCTAGTAGTAAAATCAGCAAAGAGCAATGATGGCATCGACTTAGCAGTAAAACTCTCAGATTACATCAGTATTTTAAAATGTTAATCCCTAATAAGTTCAGCAGACTCCTTAATAACATAGAAAAAATTTACCTTCTCTAGATACAGAGCGCTAAAAGCAATCTAGATCTAAAAATAGAGGCACTTCTAATGATATTCCTATGGCCATCCAAATAAACAGTGCATAAAATTATTAACCATAGAGCCGAGAAAATTCTCAATCCAGTTATAAATAACTAAAGCCTGGCTCGACACCAGGTGCACACAGTGCCGGTGGAACCTCAGGAAACGTTAATATTTCTCAAGATAACATTTCACAATTCAATCAATCAACTTCAAATAATTTAGACGGTGCTACTAAAGTAGATGACACAGTTATACAAGAAAGAGATAGACTGATAAAATTTGTAAAGTCATACATTAAAAAACATAATGAGTTACCCCCTACAACGCTCGAGTATTATAAATTCGTCAAACTGATAGGTAAAGGAGCCTTTGGTAAAGTAACTCTAGGTATTCATAAACTAACTGGAAAATATGTAGCAATAAAGACCATTGAAAAATCTTATATGAAGGATGACTTTAGTAAAAGAAAGGTATTCTAAGAAGTTTACCTTCTCAAAAAGATTAAGCATTCTAATGTGATCAGGCTCCTTGAAGTATTTGAAAGCAGCAAGCATATGTTAATGGTGATGGAGTATGCTGGCGGTGGTGATTTATTGCATCTTATTAAGCGCAAAGGTAAACTACAAGAGTCAGATGCCAAATTCATATTTAAGCAGATAGCCTATGGATTGGCTCACATTCATTGTAGAAGTGTCATTCATAGAGATATCAAGCTTGACAATATTCTACTAGACTGCGAGAAGGGAGTCAAAATCTGTGATTTTGGTGTGTCCAAAATTATCAAAAAAGGCCAAATTATCTAAGAGTAGTGCGGTACACCTGCCTATCTTGCACCGGAAATCATCATTGATAAAGGATACGAGGGTTTTTTTGTAGACATATGGAGTCTCGGAGTTTTACTTTTTGCTATGCTCTGTGGAACAGTGCCCTTCAAAGCATAAAATCTAGAAGATCTTCATAAGCTTATACTGAAGGGAGAATTTGCATTCCCTGTTGAATTAAGCAGTGAAGCTTAAGCTATTGTCAGAGGAATGATTAAACTCAATCCTAGAGAGAGACTAACAATTCCTTAGATTCTGGCACATGGATGGCTGAAAGAGACAAATGAAGATGATTCCGAAGATGAAGAGGAGGAAAAGAATGAAGATGGAGAGCCTAAAGATTAAAAAGGAGGAGCTGTTGGGGGTTAAGGTGCCACCAATTAAAATCAATAGAAATCCTAGGACATTGATCTGAAAAGCATTCAAGGTAATGTTAACTATGTTAACGTCGATAATCTCTTCTATGATGAAAACTACGGAACCAAATTGTCTTACACCGATTATTGTTGTATCACAGAAGATTTCTCAACTGAAAATATTGACGAGGAAGCATTGAAAGTATGTGAAAATTTCGGCTTCCCTCGCTAGTTCATGATAAAATGCCTTAATCGTGGCGATCTGAACCATGCCACTGCATGCTACTATTTGTTAACTAATGCAGGCTGATAAACCATATACCTGCTAGCATTTACATGCATATCTGAGTAGTAGATTTTTGAATCACATTTATAAGTCAGAATATTTTAAATAGAGATATATGGATAGTTATATTCTAATGAAATGATTTAATTCCTCATCTAATTTCATATGCTCTATTTTGCTTAATGGGGTTTTGGGGTTTTGGGGTTTTGGGG